TGAACCTGTGCTTATCGTCACGGACAGCAACGGTTCAGCCTCAGAGCTCCGGCCCCTGGTTCGACTGTGTCCATGTCAAAATAATGGCAGCTGCGTCGACGATGAAGACGTTCAGCGACAGCTGGACAGTGGCGCCAGATTTATTGTATTATCGTGTGAATGTCCTGCGGGACTCACGGGACAGTTCTGTGAAAGTAACTTTGACGCTTGTGTAGAAAACAATGATCCTTGTTTCCCAGGCGTAGAGTGTGTTAATGTTCCACCTGATGTCAATCAAACCGGATACGCCTGCGGTCCGTGCCCTAGTGGTTACCATGGAGATGGTGCTACGTGTATTGGTAAGACTGATAAGCTCCCGATCGCTCAAAATCGAGTTATGTAATGCAGTTCAGGAAATCTGTGCAATTTTTTCAGTAACCTCCTTTGCACCCTGTTCGGTCGGTCGCGTAACGCTAAGTGTCTGTTGGACGTGTTTTTTATCTACAAAAAAGCACTGTATATCTTAAACTTTTCTGCAGTGATAACTTTTTAATTTCAATGTCACTACGTAGTTACGTCTATTAATGAAATAAATAAATTATATACACGGACACATCGACATTGATGTAGTACCCAATTTTGTGCACTTTCTAAGCTCCTGAAACTGAAAAAGTAAATCTTACCCTCAATTAATTGAAATATATTTTTTTCATTGCTCATTAGATATTGATGAATGTACTGATCACGTGTCCCGATGTAGCCAGTCATGTATCAATACGCCTGGCTCGTATGTGTGTGACTGTAATCCGGGATATAAAATCGAGAATGATGGCGTCACCTGCATTGGTAAGGTTTCCTAGCTACGAACAAAATACTTTCAGAACCTGTAAACTTGCCATATTTAAGGCCTAGAGATGATTGCCTCTGAAGAGGCCACGTTCGATGTATCAGTATTCTAACATGGCTCCGAGGCTTTCGGGTCAAAATTGTAAATTTTCAAAGCTCCTTTTGTCTCCCAATTCCCTAAAAGAGATTTGGATAGAACGAAAATAACACCAAATGTGGAAGTTTGTCCTGAAAGCCTCGGAGCCATGTTGGAATATTGATATATCGAACGTCGTCTATTACTAGCTTAACAATTAGGGTGCCTTCCTTTGGGGTGATCTGGATCGGGATCAATGATTTAAGATCACTCGGATCATGGTTCATCAAAGGAACCAATGAATCCACTCTTGTCACGGGTTCATCGGTTCCATTGGTGCACCATGATCCGAGTGATCTTGGATCACTGATCCTGATCCAGATCACCTCAAATGAACGCACCCTTAGTTCGTCTAGTATTCTCGTTCTGGTGATGGTGATCCTTAGAAGGTCGGCTATTGTTATCATGGACTGGCATTCTACACATTAAATAGAGGAAATTGAGCAGGTGTTATCATAAAAGGCAAGGAAAAAATTACTTTCTGTCAGTCTATTGGTGTCTAATCTTTGACCCTTGAAACTGATTGGTNGCACCATGATCCGAGTGATCTTGGATCACTCATCCTGATCCAGATCACCCCAAAGGAACGCACCCTTAGTTCGTCTAGTATGCTCGTTCTGGTGATGGTGATCCTTAGAAGGTCGGCTATGGTTATCACGGACTGGCATTCTACACATTAAATTGAGGAAATTGAGCAGGTGTTATCATAAAAGGCAAGGAAAAAATTACTTTCTGTCAGTCTGTTGGTGTCTAATCTTTGACCTTTGAAACTGATTGGTCAGTTTCGTCGTGATGTCACTGGCCTCGTGTAAAGCTCGTAACATCTTCGCTTATTCCTATCCTATCCTATGTCTCTTTATGCAATAAGGCACATAGGCTTTGACATTCTCTTTCCAACCACTACGGTTTGCGGCGAGGTTTCTGACATTCGCCCATGACTGCCACCCATCTGTTTTCCTTTCATCTTCANTTTTTTTTTTACCTGTTTTGGGTACTGGGCTTTTTCATTTCTGTTATTTTTAGATTTCAAATACTCCGCTAAACGTCATATTTTAAACTCTTGTCTCGGTGTTTGGAAATGTGGTAAAACTACGTCTCTCGTATTTTAAATATATTACTTAACATATTCTTTGCAAACCATTTTTATCGTTTCAGATATCGATGAATGCACCACACACAGACACCGATGCTCACAGAATTGCCACAACACAGAAGGAGGATACACGTGTTCGTGTGATCCTGGTTACGAGTTGGACTCAGATCAAATGACTTGCAATGGTAAATGTGCTGTGTTTAAGATCTTGCCGTGATTGGAATAATGTTTCATTCTGTCATCGTTCACTGATACAGTGCAAAATTGGCAAAAAACAAAACCAATTACCCACGGGGACTTTCATTGAGAAAGAAAAGAGGGACGAATAATTTTTTACTTTTCTACCAAAGCATATGTTGATTAAACTATTTTATGATTAATATGGTAATATGACCGGCTTATTATTCTGGCATATTTTAAATTTTGAAATATGTTCAGTCCCTCGT